ATCAATGCTAAAAATGAAAGACACTAATAATAAGAAAAGGACAATTATACAATGGAAAAATGACCTCGAAGAGAGAGCTTTTCTGATTATAATAATTAGATGCTGGTTTTTTAGCTTGTTGCTGGCACTAAACCCTATGCACTAATTCCATTGTCTTCTTTTGTTTACCTGTTGCCGTTTGGCACTAATTGTTATTATCTGTTTCAAGGGCCAAGTAAAATCACTCTCACTCAAGTTGCTTTATTAGACAAAGTGTCTGTTTTTCTTCTCCTTTGTACACTTTTTGTCTCTAGAGGCTGATGTATATAAAGTGTACCTCAGCTTCCAGTTTATAACATTTTGATGTGACATGACTGACAGGTAATACTGATGCATATGTACCTTGAAGCAACCTTAACGTTCCTTAGGTTTGCAGCAAAACACTACTAGATATCTTGACTCTTGAGTGATTGTTTCAGCTATATGTTGCATATTCCAAACTGTGCAGAGAAAAATTGTTTAAAGGAAAAAGCAAAACATACACTTTGTCGGAAAAGTGACATAACATCAATACAGTTGTGAATTACCAAAATTATATGAGAACAATCCATGATTTTGATCCTTCTCAAAACCATTGATTTTTGGTTTATGACTATAGTCACTACACAAATCCGCTGGCAAGACTCTTGATGATTGCTTGCAAGTTGTGAGAACATTGCTTTGATTTCATTTAAGAAAAAGCTTGGGAATTAGTCCCCCTACCGCCCACACACAAAAGTTCATAGCATGCATCCCGAAGGATGCAAAGATTGTTCCATCTGATGTTTTTGTAGAACATCCTGTTGGTGTGATTTCTGTGGCTGTTCTTGTGGCTGTTGTTTACCAATGCATATTTCTTTTAGTCTTCATTGTGCTTAACAAAAAAATATCTTTTTATCTGCGTGGTCACATAAAGGCCTAAGCTTTCTCAATTTAGGACTTATTGTTTTTTGCACTGGGACTCGATTCCCTGGTACTGGAGTGGGGCAGATTTGTACTCAAGATGAGTCCTAGGACTCACCATAATTATTTGTAACAAAATGACTGCTAAGTGGAACTTTGTTTTGCTTCATTTTTCTTTTAGTATACAACCCTCCTTAGTGAAGCATTTTGGTCGCCATGGCACTTAAAATTTTGGATCTGTTACTTGATCTGTAAAAAAGTCTCCCTAAACCAAAAGAGATGGTTGCCAAATGGTGACTGAGCAAAAACTTTAACTTGGAGGGTTAGTATATTAAGTAATCATAAAATACAGTTGAACATGAGCAAGTCATTCCTGACCTGGAACATGAAGATAGGCTGTTCTTTTCAGAAGCCGAAACAACTGATCATGAGAATGTGGCACCAGAAGAACTACCATACATAAAAGACAATGGAAACTCTGAGGTATCTGTCAACTTGCAATATCCAATAGCTTTCTCTCACTATTTTTTAGCCTGCATAGCAGGCATAAAAGGGAGTTGGGGGTTGGGAGGGAGAGAAAAGGGAGGGGGATTGGGGAGAGAAGTTAAGGGATGCCTGCTACAAGAACATCCTTTTATTCATTTCTGTGGACACTAGCATCTGTAAATTCCTGATTAGCTGAGTTGTTATGAATAGCTTATTGGCATGTATTAGTGAAAGACAACTGAACTAAGATGCAGGCATCAAGGAAATGTTTGTGTTATGTTGGCATATGCCTTGGAAGATCAAGGTCCTTTTAAAGTCACACATTCAGTAAATCCTTGTCTCCCTGTGTATTTTCCAGGATGGCAGAGAGGAACCACTATGCTTTGAGTACTCTGATGACATTGATGAAGATTTGATTGATAAACCAAATGAATCTGAGAGTGGCTGTTCAGAACTACGGGCATTGCTCTTATTCCTCCTTCTTTGGCAGTCAGTGTTTAAAGTTGCAGACCGCGCTCTTTTAATACTTTTAAAGTTTTTCAAGCTCTTCTTACGTGCAGTTGGTAGGATGATGAAAGCGGACATTCTTGTTAACTTTGCCAACATTATCCCAGAAACACTGTACATGATTGAGAGGAAACTTAATCTTCAGAAGGACAGTTTTACAAAATATGCTGTTTGCCCCAAATGTAAAACTTTGTACACCTTTGAAGAATGTATTCATAAAAGGCCTAGCGGTGAAGCTGTATCAGCAAAGTGCAGCAATGTAGAATTTCCCCTTCATCCACATGAAGCACGCAGACAACCCTGTGGAACTATACTAATGAAAACTATGCGTTCAAGGGCTGGAAAATCATTCTTGTATCCTAAGGAAGTCTACTGCTTTAGACATCTTACAGATTCATTGCAGGACCTAATTAACAAACCTGGTTTCCTGGAACACTGTGAAAAATGGAGAAGCCGTTCTACTCAATTACCAGACAATGTTCTTGGAGATTGCTTTAAAGGAAGAGTGTGGAAAGAATTTCAGCTTGTGGATGGTGAACCCTTCCTTGCTGCACCAAATAACTTTGGTCTTATGTTAAATGTAGACTGGTTTCGCCCTACTCTGCATAGCTCAGACTCAATAGGTTTCATTTATATGGTAGTAATGAACCTTCCAAGGGAAGAGCGCTTTAAGCCTGAAAACGTTATGGTCATTGGAATTATTCCTGGACCAAAAGAACCAAAACTTCACATTAATTCCTTTCTCCAGCCATTAGTAGATGACCTCATTGATCTCTGGGATGGAGTTCTCTTCAACGCCACAAAAAGTGGAAACTGCGAGATGTTTAGAGCTGCCCTTTTAGCATTATCAAGTGATATACCAGCAACAAGAAAATGTGGAGGTTTTGTTGGCCATGGTGCTAAAAAAGGTAAACAACACTAGTTATACACCTCAATGGGAGCAGTTTTAGATGGATATATTTGAATATGTTGTGGTTCATTTTTTTATTTTTTAACCATGGAAAGGATTGTAAGATAACCCTAGCTTTTTACCATGTATAGAAGGGACTGACCTGTTTGAGTCTGTTGCAGCTGCAGCCAAACCTTGATATGTAACATGTAAATGCATTTGAAACAACGACAACAACGAAATTAACCACAAGGTTGTGTCTGAGTTACTATTATAAACTATTTTGATACTGTTGCAGTAGTAGTTAAACAGTCAAGATAATCTCATTAGTCTAACGATCTTAATGAAATTAGTTACCCCTGTAACTTCGAGCTTCAAGTTTTTTGTTTCATGTAAGCTGGGCTCATGTGTACAGTCGGTACACTGTAGATTGAAATGTGAACATGTAAAACTATGTAAATTATAGTCCCAATAATATGGAACAGTTTCTTCAAGATCATCATTTGCAAAACAAAGCATGAATGTTGTGATATTATACCTGCCATTGTTCAAAAACTCATCATCATCAGCTGTCATCTGGTATACTGCAGAAAATTATGTGTCAACACTATCTTTCCTACTGAGAATCATATATCCAGTTTTCCTTCTCTTCTTTTTTTATCCAGGATGCAGTAAATGCTTCAAGGAATTTCCTAGGAAATCATTTGGTGAGAAACCTGAATTTTCAGGTTTTGACCGTGAAAGCTGGCAGCCAAGATCAGACAAAGACCACAGAGCAGCTGCAGATAAAGTATGCCAGGCTAGAACACCCAGTGATGTAAAGAAATTTTCCTCTGAAAGTGGAGCCCGATCTTCTGTTCTTTTCCAGCTCCCTTACTATGATGCTATCAGATTTTCTTTGATTGATCCTGTGCACAATTTGCTTCTTGGCTCAGCAAAGAACGTCCTGAAGACATGGATTGCGATGGGAATTTTGAATGAATCAGATATGCAAAAGCTGCAGAAACGTGTTAATCTCATCAAACCGCCATCTGAAATAGGACGCATACCAGGGAAATCTCTGAGGGATTTAAAGGATTCACTGCTGATCAATGGAAAAACTGGGTGCTTATCTATTCTTCCTTTGCATTGAAAGGAGTAATTTCTAGTCAACATTATGCTATGTGGACTAAATTTGTACTAGCGTGTAGAATTCTATGCAGTTAAGTCATCACAAGGGAGGAATGTCAAGAAGCAGATCAGAACCTCTTAACATTTTGTAAAATGTTTGAGGCCCTTTGTGGCAGGGATCGTTGTACACCAAACATGCATCTCCATGGCCACTTACAGGATTGCATACTAGATTATGGACCTGTTTACTCATTTTGGTGTTTTTCTTTTGAACGCTACAATGGAATTCTGGGAGATTATCATACAAACAATGTGAATGTTGGTAAGTATAACAAGTAAATAATACAATACGTTAGCAAACACAGTGTGACTTCCCTATATGACCACCTCCCCTAAGTTATAAGCCATGATCACTAATTTCTGGCATGTACATGTAAGGTAGTCACGATTTGGCATTGAACTGTTAATTAATGTTTCTGTCCAAAAAATCTCAAATTTGTGCAATCATCTATTTTTTAATGTGGCTATAGTAGGGGTGGCCTGATGCCTCTAGCAGGGGCATCTCGTGACTTGTACGCAGTTGCTTGCTTGCAGTACTTCACAAAGTGTTGTTGTAATAGCTTGCTGTTTGCGTGCCAGTTTGTGCTTTAGTTTTTTCGGCTCCACCAACTTTGTAGACACCAACGCCCAAGCTCATCTATTGGTGATGAGTTTAATCGCAACTTATAACAGAATGATAAAGCACTTATAATTTTCTGGATGAAAAAAGAAGAATATGAGATGAAATAAATAGATATGACTTTCTTGGTAACATTTGACTAAGTGGCTCTTCATGTACCACATTCTGGATCATAGAAAAATTTAGAAATGTTTGTTTTTGTTATTAGGGGGGATGAGCGAACCAACCAGAGTATAGTCATCAAGTTTCAACTTGATTTGTTTTTTATCTAACAGCTCAGCGTGCAAAGAAAGTAGTGTCCGATAGCCCAGGGCTAGTGGATTTTGCTATCAGGCTAGTGAATTCTGTTATTAACTTGCCAGATGGGCAAGTTAAGTTTTTTGAGGAATTCAAATTATAGAAGAACTGTGAAATCAATCTGCTCATCAAAACGTTTTTGGGCTAGTTGAAATGATGTTTGGGCTAGTAAATGTTAGCTTCAGCTTTCCCGAATGTCAAGCTGTGAAAACGACTTTCTTTGAATCCTGCAGCTGTACATGAAATCCTTCAGTCCTTAAGTTTTGGTCCAGCGCCGAGTGGTTCAAAGCTGGGTTAAGATAAGCCAGGATTAGTGCGAAATTAAATTCAGATATGAAAGCTTAAAAAGTAAAATCAGTTTAATTCTTCTTCAGCAAGTTGATGATTGGATGCTCTTAAGAAATAACAGGGAAAATTTTCCAAGAAAATGCTTTTGAACAAAAGAAAAAGACACCTGGGTTAAATTTCAAACTGGGTTAAGCGCTAATCAGCCTTTGAACAACTGGGCCCTGGAGGCTTCAACACATTTATTCTTTTGTGACAGTTAAGAAATTAAAGGTTATAGCCTTATTAATTTAGTTATTAGGTAATTAATTAGTGAGTGCTTTTCTGATGTTTCCAGGTGTTCAGATGATGAGGAAGTTTTTGAGAGAAAAGGACTTAAGAAGATTTGTTTTTCCTGAGGGTATGGATGAATTCCGCAGGCTTCTAGATCACAATGATGGACAAAAGGGAACTCTGGGAGAAACAAATGTCCGTGCTCAGCTATTTTCAAACATGATTCAGTGTGAGACTGAAAACCCTTTTGAAGTCAACTTGAGCAAAACAGATGCTCATGTTCCCCTTCCACCAATTAAAAGAAACGCTTTGGAGCCATCTGAAGTGAGCTTGTTGACAAAGACATATGAGAAGATGTACCCTGCTGCTACAATTCTCAAGGTGTCCAGTTTTTGTGACAATTTCAAGTCACTTTTATACAAGGGGTATCGGTTTACTTCTGATTCGTTTAATGGTCATCAGGCATCAACAGTTTTTGCTAAGTGGTTCGATGACACTAGCGGGCCTGCTACTGTAAGAGAATTTTCGCAACATGATGTTGTTGTTCAGACAGACAATGGGAAATCCCAAAGAATCACTCATGTGATAGCTTCAGTCGATTGGTATGCAAGGCACTCGCAGTGCAATAGGTACGCAAAGCCTGTGGAGGTTTGGGCAGATGATTACGAATCCATAGTACCAGAACATGCACATTATGTGCCCGTTGGACGATTTCGATCAAACTGTGTATGTTTAAAACATTATGTACCACTTATGCGTCATCAAAAGGAAAAGGTTTCTGTTGTAATAGCATTACCAAAGTCTGCTATAGTGTAATTATATGATTGAAAATAGGATCTCTAAAGGAGGAATTTTGTGTTAAATAGATCCTCTATTAACAATAAATATATTTTGCAACAAATTACTTGTGTGTTGTTTTAACACTTTCTTGGGGCAAAACTATGTCGATCTTTACACGGTTAATTCTAATAATGATAATAGCGCTTCATAACCGTAATTCCTTTTCAACCATTTACTGCCCTCACTGCTTTTATGCTTTTGAAAAACCTGTACCCAATTGTGTTCTTTAATAGGACGATTTTTGCATTAAAGGGGCGTAAATAAGACTCGAACTGTACCATTTATCAGCATTTGCATGACCAAAATGCTACCCCATTATTAGCCTGCGCAACAAGCGTTTCTGTGCGATCAGGAGCAAAGAATGAGGAACAAGAGTCAAAGACCGCGCGAAAAATGGCGCAAGTAAAAGAGCGGGGAGGGGTCGGGGAAAAAAGAAAGGCAACATCCTTCCCCTCCACCTCCCCCTCTTTCATTTTTTGGTTTTCGTTTTATTTCTCGCACGGTCAAAACCGAAAATCCCTTTCCACGGTCTTTTTTTTGCTCCGAAACCAAACGGAAATGCTTGCTATGCAGGCTACCCGTTATAGTCAATCCAGTCGTGAAAATGCGAGCCCATCCAGCGGCACATCTCCATTAGACTCTTATAAGGAATCGATAATTTAGTAATAAGGCCCACCAATATCCTGTATCTCGCAGCCCATGTGTAAATTTATCTTTACGATGCGCAAATGAAAGGAACGTTAAGATATGAAACAGAGCGTTAAAAAAGTAAATATACCTTTTAGTTTACGCGATCCGTGAAGGTCGTAAACGGTTTGATAAGACAGTAACACATACTTTTTAAGTAATATATATTAAGTGCGTGTTTTTCATAATCAGCGAAATGGTGCTGTAGGGTCATCTCAGGCATAGCCGAAAGTCTTTCGGAGTAAATCAAGCCAGATATGCGTGGAATATTACCGTTAGTTACAACGGAGCTAAATCTAGTTACTCGGTCGTTACGGTACTGGATATCATTGAATACCATAGATTTTATACTTCTTGACACGCCGCAGTTGACGTGTCCGGGCCACGATTTGTCCTGATATTTTACGACAGAGGTGTCGGGGGAATGACTCCCTCGGAAACTCCGCGTGGCATGACACCTCGCGTTTCATTATACGATTTGCTAAGTACCATGGAGTATCATGGCCCTCTAAATTCCACTAAATTACTTATTTCACGCAGTGAATGCACTTTGGATTTCCCTCTAATTCCATGAACCTTGAGATACCTACATGCAGGTATAATATGACGATGCAACTGCACATGACTTGATGTTGTCTTTCCAAACACTTTACAAACTATTTGTTCTGCTGACTGCAGAGGCATACAGGGGCTCACAGCTGTTGATGGGATAATTAACAGTTTTTAGGGATAAAATGAAGAAACTAGTAAATGAATTAATCGTTTCACTTTAACACTGGGTATGATTTGATACTGACTCTACAAATAAAGTGCACAAAGACACACAAATAACACGAAGAAAATTTTTGACTTATACTTTGCTCAAGGCTTCAGATTGCTTCTTGCATGGTTATTGCTTTCTCCTTGGGTGTTTGTTTGGAATTCTTTGCCATGAGATGCTACATCAAAACATTTGGGAATGACTTATAACTGAGAAAATAAGATTACAAGTGCAGTGACTGCTATTGTTGACTTAGAGTTGTGTTGTTGGACTATGATGAAGGGAATTATCTTCTTAAGACATCCCTTGGATAAGATTATTCAGCTCGACATTACTCTGTCATGCTTCATTGGTAAACAATGAAAGCACTTCAAAAAATCTTACCAAGGCCCGACGATCTGACTTGCCTGATCTGAAATTGTTATTTTTCTTTAAGGGATGATTGAAATCCAGCCTCCGCCGCCAAGTCACTAACTTGCAGTAGACGTTTTACTGAAAATTTGCCCTTTAATAGACATAACACATTGCATGGTATAAGCACTCCAAAAAATATGGTAAGCACGAAGCTAAACAATGGCAAAGAAGACACAATCATGATAAGCCAAAACTCAAGTATGAAGTCAAGTATCACTTTCAACTTTGAGATCTAAACTGAGGAGCAAACTTCTCATGACCCTAACCTTCTGTTTTGTGATGAAAAGCTTAAATTTTAAATGTTTATAACAAAACATCCAGTCAAACCTCCCTTAGTCACACCATTTATCAGGACTTTTTATGCGAAATTCTACAAGGAACAACAATAAGCATGTGGTCGGACCACATGCAATGTAATAAAAAGCTGAGATAAAAATCTTCAGTACCTTACCATTGGATGTGTCACTGGAAGAGTCATCATCCGACAAAATGTCGGTGTCATTACCAGCAGATGTTGAAGCAGATTCTGAGGATTCTGAGCCTGACTCACGTATCTTTTTGCTTTTTCTCTGGAAAGAACAAAAAGTAATTTTTACAGCTCTGATTTGAAGTTTAAAACATATGAGGTAAGGCAGTACAATAATTGTGTGGCTCCATATCGACAATCCCCTAGGGATGGGGGTCTCATGACCGAGAGCTCTACATTTTAAAGGAAAACACAAAGCCTTAAGTGGAATGTCTGCTGAGACAAACCAAAAACCCTTTGTGGGGGCAGAGGGTGTTTTTTTTTTCCCCTGGAGAAACATTTTGTTTCTTTTTACAAGAATAAATACATGTATTATCAAATAAAATTGTTCGACAAACCTCATAGCATTGTCCCAAATTTATCATTCTCTTGCACTCCTAGAGGACTGCTTTGATATGTTGTCTGATTCCATCTGGAAGTAAGAAAGGAAACAAAGGAAAAGAAAGCATAACCTTTTACATCCGGACAAACTTGCTACTTAGTTAAGCCTGCTACAAAACAGCCGTTTATTGGGATTGGGTTGATCTTTAATTAATTTAAAGCTTGTCCTTGCAATAGTTCATTCAAATGCCAAACTATGAAACAGCTGACAGTGATCATATACATTGTAGTACTTTTGGAGTATTTTAAATTCAAGTTTCATTGCCATGTCACAATGAAAAATAAAGCAACAATGAAATGGTGTATTTAAAAGGAAAAGCAGCACCTTCAAATAGGAATGGCGCCAACAAATAAAGACATTAAGGCACCTTTTTTGAGTAAATATGGAGAGTAAAAGAGTTAAGAAATTGAGTCCTGGGTTAAAACCTTTCACTGTTTTACGGAAAAACTACAAAACAAACTAGTCTGTTGGTTAAAAGTTTTTGTAAAACTACTAAAATCTCACACGTTTTCCAAACTCAATTGACTTGATACAGCAATTATCTGCAAGTTCGTCTACTAAGGCATTAACTTTCGCAGCTACTTTCGGGTTTGATCTTATCGATGGTATTTCATTTCCTGGGAATTTTTCACTTGTGGCTTTACGTATTCTTGTTAGACTGCAATGCAATTCAAAAGACAATATATTCTATTGAGGGGGATAGCCACAGTTTTAAATTTACAAACAAAAACCTTGTAATACTTACACACTCATGTAAACTAATTTAGTTGAAAGGTCTAGTTTGTTAATCTCTGTTGCTGTTAACTTCTCCTTCCTTGTAGGTGGGCTGTATTTGATGTTTTTCGGCAACACAACTGAACTTGTCTTTGCACTTAATTGTGGCACTGCATGTACCTCACCTAAAGAGGGGAAAGGTGTCAAACTTTAGCAAAAATTTATAAATCCCACCCAAACAATTTAACAACTTACTGTAAGCAGCGAAATGGGAACAAAATGGGTGGGAATTTATCGAACCTGTCACCGAACGTTCGCATCATGCAATTTTAGCGAATCGTTTGTACGGGCTGGCACAGGAGGCGAAATGAAGTAAATGTACTTTACTCCATTTTAATCTTGATGATTTGCAATACTACAAAAAACACGTGCTCTCCTTCGGCAAAGTTAGACTAGACACACAGTAAAGGAACAAAAAAGAATGAAAAATGTAAGGTCGTACCTTGAATGTTCTCTAAGGATTCAATGTGCGAAATAAATTCCATCTACTCCCCAACAGTCGTTAGTCCACATGCCTGGAACACACTCTTGTCTTGAGACTTCTTCGTAATTGACAAGTGTCGCCCTTTCAACAAAATAAAGACCAGAAACTCGACTAAGCTGCAAAATTTATCACGTTGCCACGAGCTCTTAACACTTTGTTGAACACCTTAAAGGCAGCTTAGCCTTACCTGCACGACAGACCATTCTGCAAGGAAAGGCGGGAATCATGTTTCAAGCTTTAGAAGTATCAAACTGGAAAGAGAAAAACCCTGTCGTGAACTAATTTTTCAAAACAGAAACGATAGAAAGTCAACGTAACATACCTCTGTAATCTTCTTCCATATTAACGGAAAAAAACACCACAAAAACGCGATTAATTACGCTCCACTGCAACCACGAAGGCGGGAAGATGTGGTTTGAGTGCATGCGCAGTATCGCTCGCTTTCAAAAGGACTGGGTTGTAAGACTATTTCCAGTCCTTCTCCACAGTAATGCCTGCAGTCTTGCAGTCACGCGAAGAGTAATGGTGGTGAGAAGATTTAGAACATGGCAACTCCTGATCCAGTGTTTTTGTACTGTATATGCAGTGAAAGTGACGTTCAGCCACATGTTCATTGCCAGTGCGGAATTTGTGATAATAAGCCCGTATCAAGAGCAACCGCTTACAGACATTTCAACAGAACAAATCAGTTACTCGCTCAAACTGCTAGTGATGGCGGTCGCGATGATGATTCATCAGAAAGTAGTTGTGAGGTCGAAGATTATAATTATGGTTTGAGTGGTCAAGGAGACAATGCCTCCGAGGCAGATTATGGCAGTGACGAGGAAGACATCGTTTCTGGAAGTCATATGAACGTGCATGACATGCACAGTGATGAAGATCAATCTGGTCAACATTCTTAGGAGTCTGTGGGAATGGCCTCCGCAACAGAAGAGGACACGATCTCTGAAAGGATCGTAGAGGCAGTTCCTGATGCACTTGAACTTCAGCTTGAATTGAAAATCTCTCAGATTGGATTTGAAAAAATTCTGGAATGGGGCAAGAAACTATTTTTGGCGGCACACCCTCATCTAGAGAACTTATTGCCAAAAAATTGGTCAGAATGTGAGAAAGTCTTAAAGAATGTGGGGTATGAAGATTAAAAAAGTACTTTATTTGTCTTGATGAGTCTCACCGTTGTCTCTATGGTCTTATGAAAAGCAGCACACAACCTTGCCGCCATTGTGGAAAGGAAGGAACCATCCCTTACTACTATATTGGTCTCAACTCCAAATTAAAATTATTGTGCAAGGATCCTGAAATGTGTAGAAAAATGACATGTCACATGAAGGAAAAAGATCACTGGTTTTATGAAAATAGTTCAGAGGACTGGGGCTGGGAAATAAAAAAAGAGCTATGGAATGGCAAGAGGTTTTCCCAGTTATCATGGTTCTGGAACCCAGATGGAAGTTGGACTTTACCTGTTTTCTGTCCAGATTAAAAATGCAGATTTGTCATTCCTGATTCAGACGTAGAGAAAGAACCATTTCTTCCAGATTCAAGCCTCAAAAAACTTGTGTGTCCCTCGTGTCATAAACATTTTGAGCACAAACCAGCAAATGCATATGGTGACCCACGAAATATTGCTTATATTCTCCACTGGGATGGATTCCAACCATTTTCGGGCAAAGAGAATCATGGTTGTGGTGCTTTGGAAGCACAAATTGCAACAATGTGCAAAGAGGACAGATGCAAGGCAGAGGAAGTTTTTGTCGTAGGGTTTGTTCCTTGCTACCTGCTTCCAAATAAAAGGCCTGTTGCCCTTGACTCATTTCTTGCTCCCTTTATTGAAGAGATAGAGAGAGGTTTTATAGAGGGTGTAGAGGTGAATTATTCACTTGATACTCCGTTGGGGGGAAGCTGGTCCAACCAAGCTAAGACATCTTATATTACTTTGCACAGCTGATTACCCAGCAATGTGTGAACTGTGTAAATCAAAATTCTGTGGAAAGTCACCTTGTAGAAGATGCAAGTGTGGCTTCAAGCGTGCAAGTGCAGAATCAACAACTTATTATTATGGAGACTATTGTAGGGCAACTAGATTTCCATGGTCAAGACGTGTAATTGAGGAGCATATTCTTCAAGAAATAGAAGAAGAAGAAGAAGAAAGGGCAACAGTGGCAACTACAAGGTCTCAAGAAGTTGGTTTCACAGGTTTGCCTATTTTGTATAGATTAACCAGACTGTATGGCTTTGACATTCAGCGTGACTGTGTTATTCATGTAATGCACACAGTTTCCCTTGGAATTATCAAACATCATTTGTCATACATATTAAATGATGAAGCTACTGACAAGAGTGCATTACAGGAAAGACTACAAAATTTTCCATGGAGTCCTGATTTACGTGCATCGCGGTACCCCTCAAACATCAACCGCACTGGCTTTTGGAAAGCAGAGGACTACCAGAAGTTTGCTTTCCCAGCTTCTGAACTAGTATTAGGGGGTTTAATTAACTACCAAGATTATGAAGTGTGGCAGACACTTCCACGGATTGTAGAGTTTCTTTACTATCAAGGGCGAAATGGATGGAACATCGATTCAGCTACTGTTTTTAAGGACATGTGTATTCGCTATAACATTTTGCTAGAGGAAAGATATGGTCTATCCAGTTGTCATTTAGTCAATCATCTACTCACACACATTCATGAGGATGTTGTAAATTTTGGATCCCCAGATAACTTCTGGTGTTACGATTTTGAGAGATCTGTAGCAAGGTATATCTCTATATCAAACAACCGTAAAAATAATGAACTGACTTTTGCCAGAGCTGAGTTGCGACGGGATGGTCTGTCTGGTCTATCTGCTAGAGTGCTGATGACACACTGTTGTGCAAGTCTGTCGGAAATGTCTACAGTTGTTGCCTCTATTCCTTCTGAAAGGAGAGATCATGTATTACCTGAATTTTTTGTTCTTGGGCATCTGAAAGGGGTACACTGGAATGTGAGGGCACAAAGAAATGAAGTGCTACAAATTCTGTATGACGAAAAAGGAATTACAGCTACTGATGATGATCTGTCTGATGTTGTAAGTGAGTGTCGCAGCATTTGTTTTACTCAACAATGTGGAAATAAACGGGAGACCTTCAAAGCGGGTGACTCTGTTATTATCGAAAGCATTAAAAATGGCTTTCAAGCATTAAGAATAACACAGATACTGAGAATGGAAGTGCTTGAAGATCATGAAGTTTTCATTATTGGAGATGCATTTCAATATGTGATTAGTGACTCTCAGCCTGCTCGCCATCCTTGGACAAAATATCTTGTTGTAGAGACATCAGGGACTGAACGTGTTTGCCATGCATCCAGCATTAGAAGGCACATCATTCTTTGTGAAGATAGTCGTAATCTTGCCAGCGAAAGGCAGTTGGTTTGCATAGATTATAAACGCCCTGATTTTCCAATTACTTTTGTGACTGTGCCTTCCTGGCCACTAGAGGGAGATATGGTATTGGTTAAAGGCGATGATGTGGAACCATGGAGGGCTCTTGTCCAAACAGTCAGTGAAAGGACAAGGACAGTCAGAGCACACTTTTATGTTCCTCATCCTCGCTGGGAAAGGGAGTCACGCTTATGGGTGCGCGAGGGATCCGTACCACAGAACATTTCATGGAAATCAATTCTGGGAATTTGCAAAGGCTCTTGGCGAGGACAAGAAAGAGGAGTGTTCAGAGAAGATGATTGACCTTTTTCACAGTAGCAAGTTACCTTTTCTAAATTTTTGCTAAGGCAACCTGTGTTTTTAGTTTTATTGGAAGTAAGAGAATACGTCAGAATATCACAATGATAAGTTCAAGAAAGTGATCAAATATTACAGATGTAAGTGGAATTCGAGTTATTTTGTTGAGCTTAAAGTGAACAATCTTTATTTCAAAGCTAACTTTTAGTCCCTTTCAGAAATCATTTACCCTGAGAGCAGAAGGTTTCTGTCTTGCATGTCTTTTAGTGTTTACGAAGTCGTTTGCGTATTGTCTGTCACCTAGTTGTTTTTTTTTACGCCCCCTTGCACGTATAAAACAGGCTGACTGCTCGCAGGGTAGAAATCATTTTCATATTTTAATTCTTTTTTAACTGCAAATAAAAGTGGGAATAAGGTAATTCCCAAATTCAAAATCAATCTGTGAACGATATTGTGAATCCCCAAATTTTGGAATGCAATACCCAAGTAATTCCCAAAGTTGCGTTATCAATTTGGGATTTTACTTGCGATTCCCAAAATGGGAATCCGTTATTTTTTCCTGTGATTGTTAGCTTCACCATCAACAGCAGTAGAGGATAGCTGTTGTTCTTTCACACTCCTGTCAATACATGTGTCATCATCTTTCATCCACTCAGTCTTTGCCTTCCGAACTAGGCAGCTGGGAGACAGAGCTTTCTTCATCAGAACACGTTAGTCCAAATCCCTCCAACACTACTTTATCTTTTACTTTTGCAAGGAGGTCAACTGCTTACTTCATTTTTTTAAGGTCATTTAAAGCACTGTTTATCTTAGATTCCAGTTTGTAAGTGTTGCTGAAGCCATGTAACTTGCTAGACTTGTTCTCTGATGAATCCTGTCCTTTACAACAGGCGTACTTTGTCAGCAGTTTGGTAGGATTCTGTGCTTGCCAAAGTAGTCCGGACGATTAGCGTAAAATTGTTCAAAGTGGTGATACAAGTACCAAATTTCATGTTCTTAGTCCTTTTCAAGCAGGTAATGATAAGTAATCAGGATCCACTTTGGATCCTGATCTCTTTGCCAGTTATTGCAGAACGTAAAAGTTCCCATGTATTTTTCTTTGGAAAACACAAGACACCCAATGTCAAAAAAAGGGAAAACGTTCAAAGAGAGCTACTTGAACTATCTATCCCACTGTTTTTTGCACGTAATTTTTTCTTGCAGTAAATGCTAAGCAATTAAAAGTTTTAACCGGCAAAATCTTACTTGACAGTTTTTTTTTAAATCTTGATAGGAATTACCATTGCAAGCGCACAGTGTAGTGCAGGGCAAGTTTGCCTTGGTGCACTTGCAAAGTCCCCGATGAGCTCATTGCATGTGTTTGAAGCCTCGGGTAGGGTTGTCCAAGTCGGCTTCCATCTGTCTGAAGATAGATGCCATCCCCACTCTGCTGCACTTGGAAGTTCCTGGATAGAAACTAAGATTTGACCCCAAACTTGACCCAGTTGATATGCTGCCCTCTTGATGTCCTATTCAATTGCAGCTTGGCCTGGCGGAATACTTTCAATGCTTCTGGTACCTTGCGAAAAAATGAACTGCGGTGCCTTGTTGACATCTTCTTGTCGGGTTGTTTGGTTGTACATTAAAATTACAAACCATTCCAGTACCCTTAGTTGCTTATTGGACTGCATTAACTGTTGCATTGATAAATCTCGTATTACCTACTACAACAATGCAGTGACTTCATTTAACTTTCTGGAATTGCACACTCAACCCAGTGGTGATATACACCGACAGCCTGGTCCTGATTCACAATTATCAATACCAGTGCGAATTACTCAACGCTCGCATCGACAGAAAAACAGCCATTTATCATGCAACCATTCAACATCTACTCGCATCATTTCGAAAACAATGCCCACTCGTTGCTCAAGCCTGATGACAATAAATACAACATCATCGTCAAAACGGATCATGGAAAGCTTGTCTCGTCAGCCGCGTACCATACACATCGAAGTCATGAACAGAAGCTCATATGCCTAATTGTCGTAATCCCAATAGCCTGATTACCATTCAGCGATTGCCTTTAAAAGCCAGCAATGCCCACCATATGTCTATGTGTCTTAAATTCGCGCTGTATAAATAATAAGGTAATAATAATAACAATCTTTTAATAGGATGCTCCATCACAAGAGTGGTTTACATAGAGGTCCTAATTACGAGATGTATATTATATAATACAATTAAAATATAAAAAGGTTAAAAAAAAATTCAAGCTAAAATCATCTGCAAAACTGGTGAGAGCCGATGTTGTAGACAGTTTGGGACGGAAGCCAAATTGTTTGCTTGAAAGGAGATTATTTGAATTCAGAAAGTCATAGAATTGGGAATGGACGACTTTTTCCAGAATTTTACTCATTGTTGGCAGAATAGAAATTGGGCGATAATTTGACGCATCTCTCCTATCTCCAGTTTTGAAAAGTGCAGCCACTTTCGAGCATTTCCATATTTCAGGAAAATTGCCAGTGCGAATAGAGAGATTCAGTAACTTGGTGATCGAGGGACAAATAGCACGCGCGCCACACTTTAAAAGTCTCGCACTGATGTTGTCCAAGCCAATAGCCAATAGGTACTATTTATCAAAGACTATGTAGTTGACCATCAAATTGACACCCTTGAGGATTACAGAAACTTGGACCAAGTCAGATGGAGAATCCAATTGTGTTGTGAATGAGCTGAGTCCCCGGGGATATTCATTCATCCACGTACCTAGAAAAAAACGATCTGGTGGTGGTATTGGCCTGTTATATAACACAAGCCTGAAAATCGAAAAGGGTTGATTGTAACAGTTATGCCTCTTTTGAATACTTGGAGGTGAAACTGCACACTGCATCAACAGTTGTTAGAATTGCAGTTGTTTACTGGCCTCCTTCGTCAAAAGTTAATAAACTTCTGTCCAGTTCTCTCACGATTTCAACGATCTGCTTGAACACTTCTCAGTTTCCTCTGGTAGGCTTTTGATCATAGGTGACTTCAATTTTCATGTAAATGAACCATCTCGTGATCTTCTGGTGGCTAAATTTCTTGATTTTCTGGACTCTTATAACTTGGCCCAGCATGTTACAGAGTCTACACACAAGTGTAAGGGCATGCTGGACTTGATAATTACAAGGGCAAACGAGTATACTGTTTTGAACTGTAAGGTTGAGGACCCTGACCTATCTGATCACTTTGTGGTACACTGCGTTTTGACATTGGATAAGCCCACTGCTCGTAGAGTCGAAAAGACCTATCCAAAACTGCGTAGTGTAGATATGGACGCTTTATGGAGAGATCTGACAAGTTTACCTGTCTTCACCTCCCCGGCTACAAATGTAACTGATTTATTAGCACAGTATCAAAATGATCTTGATGGTTTGCTTGAAATCCATGCGCCCCTAAAAAGAGGCCTTCCACGCCATGGTATGATAATGAAGTTGTACAAAGCATGAACGGCGTAAACTGGAGAGGCACTGGCGAAAAACCAAACTAACTGTACACCAACAACTGTACAAAGACAAATGCAAACAAGTTAGGTCTTTGATTACATCGGTGAAGATGGAGTTTTACTCTGATTTGATAAAAGAAAACAATCTCAAGGCAATCACAAGGTGTTGTTTTCCGCCATTGAACGCATGTTAAACCTGACACTGGAGAGGTGTTACCCTTCTTGTGAGACTGCAAAAGAATTGTGTAACAAGTTCGCGGATTTTTTCTCAGGCAAGATTGCCACAATTCGATCGAATCTAGGCTCTTTGGCACTGCCTGATATCCCTTTCCGATTTTCCCGTTTTGATAATCCCCCTATTCAATGTGAGTTTAACCAGTTCAAGGCGATTACTGCTGTCGAACTGAGCAAATTAATTACTAAAATGGCTAGGAAGTCGTGCTCCCTAGACCCGATTCCTTCTAACTTACTTAAGTTGTGCTTTTCTGATTTGGTACCAATCATAACAAAGATTGTTAATCGCTCTTTAGTGGTGAAGTTCCTTTGCCTATGAAAAGGGCTATTTTATCTCCTCTTCTTAAAAAACCCTCCCTTGACACTGAGCTCTATCCAAGCTTCAGACCGGTATCGAACCTCATGCTCGTGTCCAAGGTGCCACCCTGGGAGATTGATACGAGCTGGCAACCACTTCCGACTTTGTTGTGGATATGACCTTTGTTTCAGAGTGGAGCTTAAAACTTGAAGTGTTGATGGGATTTTCTGTTTTAGCGATACCTTTGGGAGAGGATTCTTTAGTAATGAACTGCAATTGTGACTTTAGGTATTCCCCAAGACGGCTATGGGCGTCATCTTGTGGGAGTCCAAGAGTGTCGGTTTTATTTATAGTAATACCAAAATTCCTCCTCTTTGATTTTAGTTAATGCTTCAATTTCGGCATTAGTGGCTGCTGGTTCCCTCATTATTTGTAATTACTTGATGTCATCTTATTATTATTATTATTATTTTTATTCCTCCAATTCCTAGCTGATACATAGTTATGTAAATATAACTGAGAAAAATAATATAGTAAGAGATAAAGATTTACAAAGGAAATAAACGCGTAAAATAGAAATTACAACACTTAAATTGAATTACATTGTATATTGGAAGGAGAGGAGAGGGGCACATCTAGATAAACTAATATTGTGCCCCTTAAAGTTATGTATAACAAAGGACTTAAGATTATTAATAAAAAAGGAAAGGAAAAAATGAAGACATTGTTTGTTACTTGTTTGATTAGTTTGTAAAAGAAAAAGTAAGATTTACGTAAGAAATGTCAGGCTGGCAGAGCCAACAAAAAACGCGGCCATCATGCTCGCTGACCGCTGACCTTGTCATCTTGTTGTTTTTAAGCAGCTACCTTCTCTCTTTTGATATAATGGAATCTAGCAGCCTTCGCCATCATTTCGGTTCTTATTGGAATAGAAAAGCGGGAGTGGATGTTTAGATTTACTGGACAACCTACTTCGACAAGAGGGTTTTGAATAGGGGGAGACTGTAGTGCTCACTTCAGATTGTAACTCACATATTTGGATATTCAGAGTTCTGGCAACTTCCATGTTTTCGTGTAGCCATATTCCATGATCTTCCATGTCCTTAGACCTTTGTTCGGGATGTTGGAGGTCGTTTAGTTTATGACCTGCTTAGGTGAAATCCTCCATTCGTGTTTCCAGCTTGAAGACTTCTCATTGTAGGACTCTTACATCATCCGAGGTTGAAACCAGTGACCTTGCTGTCTGGATCTGATCTTTCCATATTTTCAACGCCAAATCGCAATCTCTTTCTAGCAACTGTTTTCGATAGTCTAATCCCTTTTCTGTCATCCTTCTTTTGCATGAACATTTCCGAATGTTTTCTTCATGTGACGGTTTCGTTGATTCAACCACGTTTTCCATAATACAGTCCTCTCACAGTGGCAGAGTTTTTACTGTAGTGTACTGATCATCGCTTTGCGTTAAAAAGGTATTGATTAAACCAAAGACAGTGATCGAGGATACTTGATGAATTTATTGATCATTTAGGCACGTAACAACTGTAACAGAAACAACAATGAAATTATCGAGAGCCTAGCTAAGAGTCTTGAACGTGACGTCTTAAATAACTCGGTGATAACATGATAGAAAGCAAATATGATTATCGACTAGTTTGGAAGCTAAATAAAGGCTGATTAATCTGTGATTCATGCAAAAATAAAAGTAAAGAAATATTAAAGAATGAATCATACCTCTTTTCCCAATTAAAATGATTGGACTTACAAGCATTCTCATAACCGATCACAATATAGGCATAAAGCACGAAGCAGGACTACAAAGACAATTACACTATCATCAGGCCTCGCCCCCTAAGCTGGTGGGTATGTACATTAGTAATGCATTATGAAGTAACGCATCTGTAACAATAGGAGGCTTCCTCTGTCTTTAATTACGGATAGATCCTGAAAGCAGAGTTTCAGTGAGGCTTGATTCATTGTTCTGTGTTGTGGTGTCAAGGCATCAGTATGTTTATAGATCACGCACTCTGTTTTTGTTTTTCTGGGTCCAAGTCCACCCTCACGGTACTATTTTCTCCAGCATTCTGTTTATCCTTAAACCACAAACATTATGCTATTTGAACTTTTGTAAAAGGAAGTAACACATGTACTTCACCAATCTCCTATTGTTTGCAGGCAGAAGCTCTTGATTGTTTAAATATGACATTAACTTCATGGTTAAATTAAATTTAGCATCCTACAACAGGGCACCAAGGCACATTGTAGAAATGTTACATGATACCAGCTACAACTGATATCACTAGGTTTAGTGGTACTTTCTGCACCAAACTGGTGTGACAGTTTCCTTTTAACGAAGACCAAATTTCTAACTTATGGCTGGTGTCAAACCATCTATCAATTTTTGGTTCTTTCCAGTTAAAAACTTATGCAATCATCAGAGATTATAGTGCTCAAAGTTTTCAAGAGTTGTCACTAGCCTTCACTTTAGGTCCTCCTTGGATTTGACAGGTGTTATTGATCACGAGGGTAGCCTGTACTTAGCTTTGTGTTGTGTTTGCTACAGAATAAGAGTAGGTGAGGATAAGAATAGATATCAAGCCAAACTGTTAGGTTTTGTAATGCTGAAGGAGATCAATCAAATTACATTTTAAGGTACAGGGCTATCCCTTTCAAAAATTCTCCTAAATGTGTTGATATTTTTTGAGGTACCATTCACTTTAGCCCCTATTAGAAAATAAAAAGCATGCATTGCCAGGCCACGCTTGAGACTTTGGTCTATAAGTTTTTTTCGCACAAATTACGCCATGAGCCGTACGCAGGTGTAGCTGCCATCATCAAGTTTCCAACGAAGAAACATGGCTGAACCATAAGCCTTTTCTCCCACATCACAGAATCTGTGTATTCCTGGCATTCCAGCTGCATTATCTGGCTTCAGCTTTTTTTTGAATTCCTACTTGAGAAGTTGGTTGAGTACTTGGACATCTTTTTTCCACCTTGTTTGAATCTCATCTGGTAGGACTTCATCCCAGGAATAACCTGCACTCCACAATTCTTCAGGGGCACCCAACGAGAATATAGTTCAAAACCACTTAAACATGGCATTGTTAAACCTATTTTAGTATTTAAACAGTAGATATAAGTGTATTTTTATCCCCTAAAATTTTTTTATCTGTTCAGATTTCCTAGCTCAAAGTCTAGTGATCCGAAAATACAGGGATCAAAACCTACCTTTCGGAAAATTTCAGCCGGAACAAAAAACGCTCCCGAAAATTCTAGGTGACCTTTTCAGGGTAAAAATCGGTTAAAGATGGGCAATTATACCATTTTTTAGATGTTCGAAAATCCTAGGAGAGGCAGGCTAGCAAGAAATTTTACAACAAATGTTCCGAGAATTATAGATCTGAAATCGTCTTCCGAACAGATATTTTCCGAAAATTGATGTTGAGTGCCCCTGATTCTTGTAAATTAATTCTCATCTTGATAGTTGTTGGAGTCACGAGGCCTGTGGGATCCCAAAGCTGGGCCAGGTAGGCGAGGCAATTTCTCTTTGTAACAGGCTTCTCCTCTGCAGCAATTTCTGTTTTCTTAAAGGTAATGGTGTCTCTAACGTTATTCCATTTTTCTTTTGATGTGCCATTGCTCTTATCTCGAGACAATTATTCTATCCCCGGAGTCTCTTATTCTAACTGGAGACTATAACTTCCATGTGGATGTCGAAGACGACCCTGATGTAAGAGCATTTCTGGATTTACTAGCGTCAATGGGACTGAAGCAGCATGTGAATGTACCAACTCATGTGAGCGGCCATACGCTTGATTTGATGATAACGCGTGAGCATGATCCAGTCATCTCTAGCGTTCCTGTGGCCGACCGATATCTCTCAGACCACGCATCTGTTTTGTGTTCTCTTAACAACGCAAAGCCTGGTTGTGTTGCAAAGATTATTCGTTATCGTCAACTCAGGGCAATTGATTTTGATGCTTTACGCCAGGATGTTGAAAAATCCGAACTTTGCACAAGAGAATACAGTGACCTTAATGAGCTAACGTCCAGTTACAATTTGAGACTAACATCTCTTCTGGACAAGCATGCGCCGATGAAGGAGAAAGTGGTTGTCTGTAGGCAGCGGTTTCTGTGGTTTAACAATGAGATTAAGTGTGCTATAAGGACGAGGCGGAAGGCGGAAAGGAAATGGCGAGGGACAAAATCCCAGCAGGACTTTCGCGCTTTCAAAGGCGCGCGAAATCGCGCAACGTTTGTTATGAATGGCGCGCGCTGTGAGTATTATACTAATCTCATAGCTGAGAACAGTTCAAATCAACGGAACTTGTTTCGCACCACCAAGTCGCTGCTGTGTGAACCGTTTGAGGTGTCGTTTCCAAAGGATATAGCTCCAGATGATCTCGCCAATGATTTCGGAAATTTCTTTATGCAGAAGATCGATAAAATTAATCAGTTAATTGATATGCAGAGCT